GCAGGAGCAATTCAAGAGGTAGTTCTCTATATATGTGATAATGTTTTGACCCTTTTGTAGTTACCGTGGTTTCTCCTATCCCATAAATCAGAATCAAGGGGCTTAGTCAGGGTGAAAAGGAAATCTTGGATACCATGATTGTGAAAAATGAAAATGTTTCAGGTACAAGTTTCAGGAAGAAACGGGAAAGGAGAAAGCCCAATTTCACCAACAAATTTTTGTTGTTCCTTGTTGCAGGGCCAAGTCTCAGACGGAAAAATTACAAATTCTAGGGAGTCATGGTTCACCACTTTGTGGCATAGATTTGAAGGTGAGGTCATTACAACTCCGAACAGTTGTGTTCTATGCATTGGAGATTTGCATGCGGAACTTTTTTTGCAGGACGTTTTCAACTTTGATGAGTTCGTGGGACAATTCACGGACGACGAAAAGCAGCAACTGATGAAATTGCTTCCTCGAATAGACTCTGTTAACCCTCCTGATAGGTTCGAAGTGATTGAAGCTAAACTAAACTGAATCATTTGCAGAAAAATCCAGCCAACTTCTCTGAATTCTGATCTTTGTTGTTTTGTTTTTGCAGCCTTAGAAGCATGTTCGAGAGCTCTCAGTTCGAAGAGAACTTTTCCTTGTTTCAGCGACTTGTGGCAGACGGTGTCTTTGAGACGTGTTCGCCCTCAGGTGCCATATCAGAAGGCTGTAAGATGCTTAAGAAGCTTGCTTTATCTGATCTTACTAAATCCCATTTGGGTGCAAGCTATTACCAACTCAAGGTTCAGCTTCATTCTCTTTGAGATTATTACGTTAGCATTACAAGATTCCTCCGATCTGAACGATGGATGGCCCTCAAAACGTTTGTTGCAGGAACGCAAAAATGGGACAGTGGACTCTTCGACTACGACCGTGAGAATCCCAAACCAAAATCCACCAAGCAATCTCACAGCCGTTAAGAGACTTAGTGAGAGGCAAAACAAGAAAATATCAGGTAAGTCAGATGAAATTCTTGTGCTCGTTGTCTTTGCTGATGCTAAACTTTCATGTGATTAGTGATTAAGCTGTCTCTGTTTCAGAGACGAGGGCTGTGACGAGGATCCCCAAACGGGTGATGAAGACAAAAGCAGACCAAGAAACCAAAGAGAGGGAAGAGGACAGCTTGCCATGTTTCAGCCCCAGAAGCCTGGAAGTCAGGTTTGAGTCAGAAGAAAGCTGGGGGGCGTTTGGGTATGAAGGCAGTTGTGGTGGTTCAGAGCAAGACCTTCTTCTGGATGTGCCATTGAATGGGTCTTTTCCTCAAGCAGAGTTACTTCACCAGCCATAAGTGAGGAAAAAGCTTCAAGCTTTCTGTGTTCCCCCATAACAAAGAGAAATAACTCTTTAGGGTATTTTTCAGTGGGTGAAGTGAAGCCATATGAGATCGCTGCATTACGAAAAAACACTTGAAAGGGAAGGGATTTTTTGTGCGAGTTTTGAGGCTCTTTTAGGAGGTATGGAGTCTATAAATATATCATATAAATGTCTTTTTTTTTCCTGTGTTCCTCTTTTCTGTGAGCTTTATGAACTCGAAGAACAGAGGTTCTGTTTCTTTTTTCTGGATATGGGAACGAAAAGAAACCGCAAAGGGAAAGGTATAATATATAGATTCCAAATACAAAAGTGAAGTATTTGTAGGCCACAAACGACAAATATATTATTGTTTATTATTATTTCCTCAGAGCATTTTTTTTCCCTTTCAAGAACCAACCACAAGAAACATTCTGCTTAACAGGAGTCGGAAGAGAAGTCAAGTGATATTTGTCCATTTGGGTGGGAAGATGTACAAGCAGCAAATAGCATTTGAACATACAGATACTACTAAAAAGAAGGAAAAAAAACCCTGAGAGGAGAGCAAGAATAATACCCTTAGAGTAGCCGGGAAGAGGGCGGCCATTTCGACTCTGATTTTGATCGATCCGACTCAACAGAAGATGTGGAGAGAAGTTTCAGATCGTTTCGGGAGGCGAAGAAAAGGTGAATTTTAGTATGTATCCAATTATGATTCCAACGAGCCCCACAATAGCTGCCAACTTTAGGGTGAAGCCTGCATCACTCTTCTGGCTTTTCCTTCTTCTCAGCGTCTCCTGTAAAAAAAATGTTGTTTGATTAATATATATATATGTGTATATATATATCTTAGGATGCTAATCTCAATTTTTGGATGTTTTATTGCGTGTGAGTGATTCTTCACGCCTAAACCTACGACCAAGTTACAATGGTGACTAACTACTTAACCAGTCTTCCTTTTATCAACTAATAGCCAGCCATTAGCTAGGGTGGTTCCAAAGCGTTCGTTAAGTTTACAATGAAGTAAGTTTTTCAGACAGGAAAGATATATACTAACAAAGTGGCTTCTCCATTACCTCAAATACCATGGTTGGTTATCAAGAAAAAAGAAGATCGAGGATGGGTTTATTGAGACATACCAGTTCTTGTTGCAGCTGTTGCATTAGTTTAACAGCCGCATCTCTTTCCTCCTTCAGGCGATGTATGGTCTGACCACACGTATATTGATGAAAGAAAAGTGAGAAAGCGGAGGAAAAACACGTGCGGAAATATCTAAGGCTTTGGAGGAAATCAGAAGCCTCGTATGAAATTTTATGAGATGCAGTAGTCACCTTATGAAGAAAAATATATAAAGACTAAAGAAAAAAGCATTGAAATGAGGTTTTGGTTATACACTGACTCACACACTGTATACCCTGGAGTGTTTGTCTTTATCATAGCCAACAACATTGGCTCATAGCAGTCCACGGACTGAAAGAAAGACATGCATATTTCATCTGGAAGGATGATTGTTACTCACAGAAATGGTTTCAGAGCCATGTCCATCACCCTTTGTTGTTGTGTTCTCACAGGATTCATGCGGTGAAGAAGGAGAGACATACGAGACTTTAAGCTTGCACTCTTCTAATGTTTTTCCACCGTCCTTGGTGAACTAGAAAATAGTCATAAAAAGTCTGCAATCAGGGTTCCATCAAGAATGGCAACAAAACGATTGCAGGATGAAAAATTCCTTTTTTTACCGTGTCTTGAGGAAGCTCGTCCACATCGGTATGTGGAGGTACTATGGTACTTTGCAGTAGAAATTTGTCTTTGCAGTGCATATCAGGAGAATGTTCCCGTTGCGCTTGTAGAGTCACTGCAACCAAGGAGATCTTGTTTCTTTTCATCACCAATAGTAGAAAATAAATAAAAAAATGGTGACAATGTTGCTGAATAAACATTGCACCTCTAATGATGCAGGAGTCCCATGGCTGTACCACACCTGTGTTGGGTCTTACGAAATACTTCTTTGGAGAAGTTGTTTTAACCTGATCCAGAGAGAAAGTTCACACAGGCATGGAGCAAAGCATGAGGAAGAACAAAGCCAATACCTTGTAGCGGACAAGGGGGAAAAAAAGAACTGTTCTAGTGATGCAGGAATTACCTTAAAAGCAACATAGTGTTCTGTTTTATTAGCAATTTTCAGATCACAGTAGCTTTGCTTCTCCAGTTCAACTGACATAATACGATGAATCTTGTGATCATCAGTGCATGCCTCAAATAGGTTCAACAGCAAAAAGCAGCCCAAAAAAAACACATCAAAGACTATGTTTTTCTTCATTGGCAAAAGTATTCTGGCCATAGGTTAAGGATATCTCCTCCAACATAGGGTTGCATGATGAAATTTCTTAATTAAGGCAAGACCTTAAGATCAAGACAGTTGAAGAAAACATAAAAAATTAGATGTAACGAAAGAAAAGCAAACCAAACTTCAACTCATTCTTGATAGAATCTGTATATAAATATCAATTCTAAGAAGAAAAAAAAGGCAAAGTAAATAATAGAAACCACATAGATGATCATGCATGCACAGTTACAAGGGTACTCTTACACACATATACGACGCGAGAGTGGTGTGCTTATATACTTACAAATGAATTTGAGTTCATCGGGTTGAACGGAGATGAGCTGATTAACGCCACCGGCAGTCATGGCTCAGCCACCACGAAGACCGACCAATCAATCTCCTGAACTCGAAGGCAAAAAAACACAGACCACCGCCGGATCAGAGATTCTCTACAAAATCGAAAGCCTAGCTCAACAATTTCTCCAACCACCGGAAAAAAATCCAAAAAATCCAGGAAAAAAAACAAAAAAAATCAAACAGGAAAAAAGAGGGGGGGAGAAAAAAACGGAGGGTCAAACCTGGGAGAACAAATCAAAGGTAGAAGGCGAAGAAGCTGGTGGGAGAGTTTCTTGTAGGTAGGCCCGGAAATCGCTCTCCCACCAAGAACGGTCAGCCGATATCTGTCGTTCGGATGGTGGCGGAGAACAGAAGGAGCTTTTCCTTCTAGAGAGAGAGAGAAACCTTCGAGGAGATGCGGCCACGTGAAGTATCAGCGAAGTTCCGTGCGATTTCCTCCGTCATCGTCGCCGGGAAGTGCGGCGGAAGAGAGAGAGAGAGAGAGTGACACGTGGGATGAACGGTTGGAGGGTTTGGAAGGGAAGGAGCGGTTTAAAAGGAAGGAGAGGGAAAAAAGGGGAACGTAGATGACGTGGCTGTTACTATATAAAGGTATTGTATAACATATACTTCAGGTGGTAGGCCATTTTCTTGTCCCCGGGATTTCTCCATTATATTAATTTTTATATGCATAATTATTTAATCCCGGCTTACCACCACAACTGAATTGTTACAGCATTAGTTATTAATATCACATGAGATGAAATGAAACATATTACTCGAACAATTATAAGAGGTCCATCGATGCATAATCACACTCATGTTTCAATCCATTAGGTAAACACGGCCAAGCAAGACTTCCAGTCCAGAGAGAGGTTTCAATATGTTGGTTGGTACGGAAAGAATGGGAGGGGAAAAAAGCATCTAAAGAAACACAACAGCAACCCGCAAGGACAGAAACAGACGAGAAGCAAAGTAATGGTCTGGGATTCTAGAAGAACATTAATCTGTAAAGAAAGATCATTACAGTAGAGTCAGGATTCCAGGTCTCTAACAAAAAAACATGCAAAACATACTCTTACCCCGGATGGGAAGGAATATTCACTCGCACTTCACCGATCTTTTGAAAGTTGTAGTTGGACCAAAAATTCGGTGAACTTTCAGATTATTAAAAAAAGAAGATAAAAGAGCCCAAAGAAACAAAACAAAGGTACCAAAAAAGAAACCACGATGAGAGAAATGTCCTGAGACAGAGCACGCAAATGACAACGAAGGAAACAGAATCGAATTATGTGTGTTTGATCTCAAGATGAGGTCCTAACTGAAAAAAGACGGGAGATGACTAATCTTGATACGCTTTCTCAAATTACGGATTCTATGAAAATTACATGAGAAGAATGTCCAAGAACAAAACAAAAGAAAACAAGCAAATTCTTACAGAAGGCAGGATTACCGGATGTGGAGCACACCACAGTGGCAGCTGCTCACTTGAAAGTGGAGAGCCGAGGAAGCTTGTCCCTCAGATAGTAAAGCCTTGCTCTCCTCACTTTCCTGTGACTCACAACTTTTAACTCCTTGATGTTTGGCGAGTATCTGTCATATATCAAAACGGTAACAATATGAATCAATCAAACTATGGTAGGCTCATTCAATAAGTGTGGATTATCATGTCTGTGGGATGAAAAGCAAGCCGATAACGATGACTTTTTCCACCACAGAAATTTCAAATTCGGCCGGGCAGAACAGGGCAGGGAAAGGGATAGTCACGGCTTACCTTATGGTTGAACCTAAGGTGATCTATTAACGGCTCATTTACTTTTGTGCACTAAACAAAGAGTACTAATCAGAACTGCGTTCATTGAAGAACCATGAGTTAAAGCACCCTTTAGCTCTTATTATGCCCTCTCTTGGTAATTTACATAGAGGATCTATCACTACGATGCTCTTCGTTTACATGTGTTTTGTGAACCGACCCCAGATTAAATGCAGTAGCAATCACTTTTCTCCCCCAAAGAAAAGTTGCAAATATATGAGAACAATTGCATGAGCCCAGAGTGAAAGAAGGGGATTTACTAAAATGGTTATTGTGAGGGAAAATAAACTCACATGGGAAACACGATTTCAACACCAACGCCTGCAATCATCCTCCGGATACGAATGGTGGTGTGAATGCCAGCATTTTGCTTCGATATCACTATACCTTTGTAGATGGACAGCCTGCGTCTGTTCTCAGGAACTTCCTATAAGACAACCACCAAACCCAAATCTCGAACCTCAGTTTGCGGCATAAAAACAATGGCTCCAAGCTATACAGAGTGAAGGCTCACCAATTTAATTTCTACGATATCGCCTGTCCTGAGGTCTGGTACCGGTCTTTCCAACTCTGACGCCTCGATAGCTCTCTTGTTAAGTATCTACTCAAATAAAAACCAATCACAATTAAGTTCGTAAATTACTACAAGACATTACATGAGAGAGTGTAAGAAAACTCATCACTGGTATCTGCAGTATCAAGATTAACAGTGGCATCATCAAAGTTATCCTCTCCCACAAATGAGATTTCGCAAACTAATTAGTGCTGCCTAGATAGTGCTAACTCCATTGCCATCCTCGTGGAATGATAAAGGAAACTTTGACAATTTGGGGAATCCATGATATTTCTACAGATAATTTCCCACTAATTAGAACAACTTCATAACAACTTAGCGTAAATTCTAACACGGACAAAACATACTACACCACTTCACTCCAGTACTATGCAAACAAGCTTATGCAGGGAGGGAAAAGTCCAGAGTAATTCGTCAACTCACTCCCATTATATCTCCGAGCTTGACCCTTGGCTTCCTCGGAGGTTTCTCTTCCTCCGCCACCGCCTCAGCCGCTTCCCCTTCCACTTCAACGTTTCCTTCTACCTCACCTTCCGGAGTTTCCGACTCCGCAATAACATCCATAGATGCTTCAGCTTCACCTTCAGGATTCTCTTCTGCTCTCACGATAAACTCCCTTTTCGCCCTAGAATCAACTGAGAAGCCAAAATTCGAGCCAGAACCCCTAGAAACCGACATCCGATGATTCGTTGTAGGTCCCCGTGAAAGAAACGAAGAAAACCCAAGATTCCTAGACGATGGCATAGGGTTTCTCGGGATCACATGCAATGCCTGCCTCCAGAACAAAGGAATAGACAACAATTAACGGGGGAGCAACGTAATCATAAACGCATATCCAAAACAACAAATCATCAACAACTAGCGTATGAATATGACGCTGTGTACGTGAGAAGAGAATAACCTGAGGAAGAAGGTGAGAGCTCGTAGCCATGGTTGCGCTTACGGATACTCGGAGTCGGAGGTGAGGGGGGGGAAGGATTAAAGAGCCTTATCCGCGCGTGTGATCTTATCCGCGCGTGTGATTCACTTGATGGATCATTTACTTTTAACTTCATTTGGGCCTGAAATATTTAAGCCCGTAACATTACAGTTACTACCATTGTTTAGTTGGGCCTGTGGTTTCTTTGTGAAAAATATAACAAGATAACAATCCAGAATGAAAAATTAGGGTTTATTACTAGTAAAATCAGATTCATAGAAGAAGTTATGATGCTATTAAAATAAATAAATTGATGTAATAAAACACATTTAACTCTAATTAGTCGTCAATTTCAATAATTTAAGCAAAGAATGGAATCATGGAATTTTTAATTGTGAGGAATACAAATAGATGACAGAAAAGGATTTGGTTTTCTTCTACGCATCTCTGGGTTGGCGTTGCCACGTCAGCGTCCAACCGCGCCCATTTAAATACCAAACATCGTGGGCCTTTTTTCCTTCCTTAACCGCGTCATTTGGCAACAACAAGCACCGTTTACGTCCCTCTCTCTCATCTCTTTCTAGCCGACGACGATCGCTCCATTTCTTTCTCGATCTGTCGTCGGAATCTCCATTCGTATTTCGAATTCCGCCAAATTTCCTCCCGGAGATCGATCCAGCTACCTGAGGAGCCATGAATCCCGAATAGTAAGAAGCTTCTGTTGTTGGACGGTTTCTCCTTTGAGCTTCGCTTATGTGATTGTGATTTAGTTTCTATTAGATTTGCTTGGATCTTGTGATCGGTGGATTGGCAAAAATCTAATCGGTTTTTTCTCGTTATCTTTATGATTTTGAATGATCGGTGTCTCGATTTGATTTTTCTCATGTTGGTTTTGAATCGATTAGATCCAGAAAATTTGGGTTAAGATATATTTCCATGTTGACAACCGGATAATTTCGTAGTTCATTTCCAAATGGGATTTGTACGCCTAAAATTCATGGTTTTGCGTTGAAAATCTGGGACATATTTGATGCAATAGGCACTCTTTTTCTCATATGGTGATCACGGGGGCTGAGACACGAAAATCCGAGAGATCATCTGGACATGATCCCAAGAGGGAACTTCAGATGTCTTGGGGAATTTTGTTTTCTGCGTTTTGTATTTCCGGGTAACAGATTGGATAAGCAAAGTTGTGTCCTGTATAGGGTGGAGAACCATAACGGCTTATCACTGTCGATGAACCCTTTACCTTGTTTGATCTGCATGTTTCACGAAGCACGAAGATTCTTACGCATCTTTCCACCTTTTGGTTTTCCAGTGACTATTTGTTCAAGCTTTTGCTCATCGGCGATTCTGGTGTAGGAAAATCATGCTTGCTTCTGAGATTTGCTGTAAGTAGTTGCTTTTAGGCTCTTTTATGGGCCATCATCATCATCATCATCACTACACTGATATAAGGTTGCAATACAATTTATTGTATTATCCAACTCCTGTTATATTACAGCCTGATTTTATCACCAGATTCTCACCTTGTTTACCCAAGCCGGCTGCTTTGTGCACAGTTACTTCATCTTCCCTGTTAACTCGATCATTTTGTGTCCTGCAGGATGATTCCTACCTGGATAGCTACATCAGTACCATTGGTGTTGATTTTGTAAGATTTTACAACTTGCTGCTTTAGTTGCTCAGATTGCGAAAACACGAAGGCAAAATTATTAAATTATTAATCTCTCTGATCTGATGATGTGATGCAGAAAATCCGCACAGTTGAACAGGATGGGAAAACCATCAAACTCCAGATTGTGAGTGTTCTTGAGCAAGATCCAGATCCTAATCACTTCAAATTTGAATGAGCATATTATCACTCTCCTTTTGCTATTGCCGTGTGTGCAGTGGGACACAGCAGGCCAAGAACGTTTCAGGACGATCACTAGTAGCTACTACCGTGGAGCTCATGGGATCATTGTATGTTCGCACTCATTACTGTTGTCTTCCGAGTGCCACACATCCCTTCTGAGGCCCAACCCTTGTGTTGAGTTATGAATTGTTTTTAAGTATGTTATTGGCGATTTGGGCAGGTTGTTTATGATGTCACAGACCAAGAGAGCTTTAACAATGTCAAACAATGGCTAAATGAAATCGACCGCTATGCCAGTGAGAATGTCAATAAGCTACTGGTTGGGAACAAGTGTGATTTGACTTCACAGAAAGTTGTGTCGACTGAGACAGCAAAGGTATCATAAATACATCTATTGGGAACCTTGGAAAAGATTAGGATTAGAATCAGATTCTCACTTTGTGGATCAAAAGGGCTGAGGGGTTTACATGATTCATCTGGTCTGGAGTAACTGAATCTCATGGTTTACGCTGATACAAGATTTCACCCTTGACATTGGCCAGGCTTTTGCGGATGAACTGGGCATCCCATTCCTGGAGACAAGTGCGAAGAATGCTACGAATGTGGAAGAGGCTTTCATGGCAATGACTGCTGCCATCAAGACGAGGTACTGCCACTGCTCCCTTGGGTTATATCACACTGTTATTGTATTTACATACTTCCAACTTGTCAATGGGGCCTCACTGAGAAAGTACCTTAAAAAAGGTAGAACTGTGTAGGTGATTGCCCCAGTACACTATATTTAAAGCCTTAACTAAGTAATCATCCATTCTTTTCCGTAGAACCATGGTAATATTCACCTTTTGGTCGTCCTCTGAATAAGACATGTATAAGCCACAATACATATGCAAGTAGTGTATACATATAGTAACGTGCGGGGGGAGAGGTGTTTTTAATGCAGGATGGCGAGCCAACCAGCGGGGAACGCAAAGCCACCGACGGTGCAAATAAGGGGGCAGCCGGTAACCCAGCAGTCGGGTTGCTGCTCCTCTTGAAGGAAGGAACCATCAGTGTCTTATCTCCATATTCGTTTGCTTGTAAGACCTTCTGAATAGAAACCATTTTGGATTTGTCTGTACTTCGCTCCTTGTTCACCCGAAACTTCTCCAAATTCTTTCTAATTTCGAATAAGAAAATGTATGTTATTTCCGAAATTTAGGCCCTTAACGTTTATTATCATTTCATGTGTTTCCTCTCGTTTTCAAAAATTTTCCTTTCATACACTCTTCCTCCTCTTCATTAACAATTAAATCACATTAAAATACAATATATATATATATATAACCATTGTGTTCTTATTTGCAGTTCATTGGCGAATGAGGTTCTCACACACTGATTCCTTTTGGGCATCTTGAGGCCTTCTCTTAAAATTACATACTCTTAAGTTAAGTTTGTTAAGGTGAAGAAAGTGGTCAATCAATCTTCTAACAACTCATGTAATGTTCAGCAGATATATTTACAAAAAAAAAATTACCAACAAAATTTATAAAACAAATAATTCGATGTTGGCATTGAATTTTGAAGCATGTCATTAAATTCACGCTGCAAATTATTTTTAAATGAATAATTTCAGATATTTACAAGTGGGAAACGTACCATACAAATTTAAAGAATTAAACTTTTGGTTATGCAGAAATAATAATCAAATATCTTATGTGTATATGTAATGCGTATAAGGAGTCAAACCGTTTCATAAATTGCAAGCACAATGAATGAACGACCCACATATTAAACGTCATAACATTGCATTTTTTTTTATCAATGGGCCCTCCATGCAGACGATTGTGCGAGTGTACACATTGCATTTCTGCCGGAAATTTGGTTGGCCCTATTAATTATAAGAAAACATTAACCAGTCAGTTATTAGTTAAGGAGCCATCTAATATAAATGCCGAGAAAAAAATGTCATGATTTCACATTTCGTTGTCGGAAATCTTCATTACTGTTATTGAAAATCTCGTATTTCCTCATGGTTTTGTTTTTTGCTTTTTGGCCGTCGAATACCATGTTGGTTGTTTTTCTAAAAACGTAAATCATGTTGTTTTCAGATTTTTTTTTTTATAACGAGATGGTTTTTCGGATCTTCGCCCCGACTGCATCCACCCTAGATTCGGGATCAGCCTTTGTATATGGACTATTTTGATCCAGAAATTGCATCTCTCCCCACCAGTGGAATCGAACCCAAAACTTTAAGTATGACTTTGTTACCTTTCAACCATTGGACCACCAACTGTTGGATATGTTGTTTTCGGATTGCTACGAGATCTTTGTATACAGAGAGACTATAGAGATTGAGATTTTAGATAGATAAGGTCTATAAATGCCAAGTGGGCATAGATAGACTCCCTCTCTAATTAAGGGGAAGAGACACATCATTGTTCATATCTTCCCATTTTTTTCAACAAAAATACAGTATAATAGGTGTTTTTTCCTACAATGTATTAGGATTTAATGTTTTTTGTCTACAATATATGTGCATGAGACTGTATGCATTTATTTATTCAACGAAAACCATTTGAATTATTTTTTCTTTGAACAGATTTATTATAATGTATTCAACAAATATGGGATGCACAATCTTATCCACGACTTCTAAAGAGATTTAATATTCCTTTGTATGAAACATAAATATTGATGTAAGAATTATATAACTTGAGGAAATTTACCCTTTTTTCCTTTAAAAAACATATAAATTCTTTTTTGGTGAATTGGGGGTAGGTGTACATGTGATGGTATTTAACATTTACATTTAACTGGAATGGGAAAAGGGAGGATACAGGCATCTGATTGGCCGACGCAAGAAGCAAAATAAGTAACATCTGACACTGACAGTTTATCTCTCTATTAAAAATATCTTCTCTCTCTCTCTCTATACATATATATATATATATATATACATATATATATATATGAAGGCGAGAGTGAATGTGTTGGTGAGAGAGAGAGAGGAGAAGGAGGAGAGAGTAAATGAGATTCTGAGAAGGGATCGACCAATCAGAGCCGTTCATTTTGAGAGTATTACTTGGCCGCAACTCCCAATCGACGGTTCACACTTGACACACTTCTCCCTCTTTGATTTTCACACGAAAGTTCGTGTATTATTCGCCAATCGCTCGCTTTGGATTATGTGTGTGTGTTTTTTGTTCAGCGTTTGGCGTTTGTGATCGCGGGTATATGGCGTCTGCAGTGGTAACGGTTGCCGCTCTGTTATTCGGCCTCATCCCCATTTCCTCCTCCCTTCCTTTCATACTTCTTCATGGTGATGATGGACGAATGAATGAATCATCATTCGTCTGATTTCTTCTTCCACACCCACACGCACACACATATACATATATATATAATACATATATTGTAAATGATGCAGGTATCGGGTCTCAATGCTCAAATGGTGGAGTGGGTAACTTCACACAACTCCTCAGCAATCTCTCCGGCTCTCCTGGATTTTGCTTGTACTCTCTCTCTCTCTCTTGTTGGGTTAATGGTGTTACAGGGGAATAAGGATATATATGGCTGGCTTAATTAGTTGCTTGGATCACAAGTTTCCCTGATAAAAATGATCGATCGGATATTGGTTTCTGCAGAGAAATCGGAGATGGAGAAGACGATTCTTGGTTCATGCCCCTGCCTAAACAGGTATAAATAAATAAATAAACAAATAAATAGTTTAAGACATAATTATTGGATGGCATGGGGTTGGTGATAAGATTGTTTGTGGGCATTGGACAGGCAAGCGTTGCGTGTGAGAAGGTTAAGCTGCTGAAAGAACTGAGCCAGGGTTACAACATCGTCGCCCAGTCCCAGGTTCTAATATTTTACTTAGTTTTTTTTTTATTAATGCGTATAATTTCTGACCCATTTATATATATTAATATACGAAAACATATATATGTATAATCTGATTTTGTAATTAATGTGTGGTTTTTCCACAGGGAAACATGGTAGCTCGAGGCCTTATCGAGTTCTGCGACAGCGGTCCACCCGTAAGATATATATATATATATATATACACACATGAAACTTTCATTCATATTTGCAATGTAACTCATTCAAGAGGAAGAATGTATGTACATACGTATGTATGTATGTGTGTATGGTGTTAAAAATGAGGAATTTTATGAAATTAAGTGAAGATATGATTAATTAATTAATTAATTAATAATAATAAATGCAGGTGAGGAACTATGTGTCATTAGCAGGGCCTCATGCTGGCATCGCTTCAGTCCCTCTCTGTGGGGTAATTAACTTTGATATTTCTTCGGCATTTTAATTAATTCATCGGTTTATTACATTCATTAACTTTTTGTGATTTTTGTATTTGGAAGTCTGGTGAAATCTGCCGACTTGCAGATGAACTGATCAAGCTCGAGATCTACAGCGACTACATTCAAGTAGGTTTTCTTTATATACACTATATATATACACACACACACATATTATGTATGAGTCATATATAATATGTATCATCGGCATGCATGCAGGATCGTTTGGCTCCGAGTGGTTACATCAAAATACCAACTGTAAGTGTTTACAGAATATATATAAAGTATATATCAAATTAATCTTATTTCATTACATAAGACTGTATATATATATATATATGTGATGGAATGAATGCATATTCAGGATATAACAAGCTACCTGCAACACTCAAAGTATCTGCCCAAACTCAACAACGAGAAAGCCGACGACAGGAACTCCACCTTCAAGGACCGTTTCACCAGCCTCCACAACTTGGTCCTCGTCATGGTCCGTTCTCTTTATATACATATATATATAAACTCAGACAATATATACACACATATATATATATATATATGGTCAACACTTTAATTGGGTTTCTTTTGTGGAATCAATCCCTTAAAATTACAGTTTGAGGATGACAAAGTGTTGGTGCCGAAAGAAACATCATGGTTCGGGTTTTACCCAGATGGAGATTTCCACCGTCTTCTTTCTCCTCAGCAGGTAGATTCTTCTGGCTTGTCCTTTGACTCTGTTGTTGACGTATATACGTATACGTATACATATGTATAAGCATCGATCGATTGAAACACAGACAAAGCTGTACGAGGAGGACTGGATAGGGCTGAAAACATTAGACGACGCGGGAAGAGTGAAGTTCGTGAGCGTGGCGGGAGAGCACATCAGAATGGCGCATGACGACGTCCTTAAATACGTCGTCCCTTACCTTCGCTAATAAACCCCAACCCTCTCGGTCTTGACTCCTAATCTGTTCTCTCCCAGAGGGTTTCAGCAGTAGCGAAATTTATTTTTTAATAAATTAAAAAAAATTAGAGAAAACGTCCATCTGCCAGTCACCATGGGCTTCGTTGCATGGCCCATCAAAGGCCCCAAATTATAATACTATGATTTTACTAGACATCACCCTAAATTATTTACTCTTCAAGCAAAACGTCTATATCCTTTTATAAAAAAAAAATTAATAAATGTGTATGTGAGAAAATCCAAAAAATATCTAAGTTTCTCAATTTTAACAAAATAAAACCTAAACTTTGTTTTTTATCAAATAAAATCTCAAATTTTAATTTTAAACTCTGTAATCTTTGTCATTTTTAATAAAATCTGAATGATGATGTGGTGTACCTCACATTCTATATGGTAAATCAATACTTTAACCATATTTAACACGTTATTATCCATATATAATGATATCAGGATGTTATCGATGTTAAAAAATGATAAATATTATAAAATTCGTTTTTATTTTTTATTGAAAAATAAAATTAAAATTTTATTAGATAAAAAATAAAATTTAGATTTTATTTTGTGAAACTTAAATATTTTTTTGGATTTTACCTAGAAAGAGAAAAGGTAAGGATGTGACAAATCAACTTTGCTTAAGGTGGCAACATGTTTTAGGGCTTACGAGGGAAATTCATATATATATATATATATATATATATAACGAAGAAATGGACAAAAACACGCACGCCCCATATGTTGGAACATGCCCCTTTTTCACGAGGACAAACTCGGGCCTTCTTAATAATATATGAAAACTTTGGAGTTTCTAACCATTAAAATGTTTTTGTAAATTAAAATCAAATCGCTGTTGGTACTGTTAGCATATAAATATGAACCGATTTAGCCTCAAACGGAAATAAATAAAGACGGAAACACGGCTTTCGTTTGTGGGAGAGGAGGTTCAATCATCCAAAGTACAAAACGGCTCCGCTCATGACATTACACCCTCACCACAGCCACATACATTGACTTACCCAAAATACCCCTCGACATCACGCAATATTACGACCCCTTAGCCATACGGCTAGGACCTGAGAGCCACGGGTTTAAGGGGCGGGACCGGTCGCGTTGGGCCGTCTGGTTGGAAGAGCCAGCGACTCGCTCACACGAGGGGCACATGATGAGAGTGGTGGGTGGGGCCATCTGGCCGTAGAACTGAGGGGACAGTTTCAAGGCCCGTAGTTCCGCCACTTCTTTCTGAAGCCTTCTGTTATCTTCCGTCAATTTCTCGACGCATCTCTTCAAGTACTCGCAGTCCACCTCTGTTTGCTTCAACTTTGTCCTGTGGCACGATAACATACTCCCCCGCTCGTAAATATGACCCATCCAGAGGGGTACAAATGGAAATTCGCTCAGTTTTCTCACCTTGCCCTTCGGTTCTGGAACCACACCTCCACCTGTCTTGGAGTCAACCCCAGTTGCTTTGCCAGTGCCATCTTCTGCTTCTGCATTTTTTTTTTCGAAATTACTCAATGGCCCTCGTCCAAAGTTGGCATTTTTAATTTCTTTCTTCATCAGAGAGATAGACTTACCGGATTGAGAGTGTTGTGCTCCTTGAAGGTGTCCTCGAGAATGGCGGACTGATCCTTAGATAGGCGGAGCTTCTTCCGGGAGGTTTCACCGCCGTCTTCTTCGTCGCTGGATACTCTGTGGTCGTTTCCTTCCCTCTCGCTTCTCTTGCCGCTAATGGTGCTCGAGATGGTGCTGTTAGGCGAAGACACCCCCGCTTCCTCCTCGCAATCCCCCGTCGATGGCGCCCTGTTCACGTCGATTCCTCCCAGGAATGGTGGGTTCTGATGATCTGCAAAAAAAAATATATATACTGGATGTAAGTTTCTCAGATTTTTTCCAAGAAAAAAAGGAAGATGGAAGGCTCTTCTTGTGTGTGTATGTGTGAAAAATGGAGGAGATCTGGAACTGAAGGAAGCGTACCAGCTGCAGAAGAAACGAACGTTTGGTTCCATGGAAACTTGTGGAGATTGGAGACGAAAGAGGTGGGTTTCAGATTCAGCTGGAGAGGACGATGGTTTTGTGCAAATCCCAAGCTGAGGCTCAGACCCATGTCCTCCTCTTCCGTCATCATCATCATTTTCTCAAAACCCAGCTCCCAGATTTTGATCTTCCTCTCCTATACAGAGAAATATAAACTTATTTTACTCCTCGATCCGACCTTTTACCCCCAAAGCTTTGATTTTTCTGGTGGATCTCAGGGAGATAAACTCAGAGAGAAAAAAGGCCCTGATGGTTGTGTGAAGAGGAAAAGGAGAGAGAGAGAGAGAGAGAGAGAGAGAGAGAGAGAGAGAGAGAGAGATGGTGAGTGAATGAAGAGGAGAAAGAGAAAAAAGGCCCTGATGGTGGTGTGAAGAGAAAAAGGAGAGAGAGAGAGAGAGAGAGAGAGAGAGAGAGAGAGAGAGAGAGAGATGGTGAGTGAATGAAGAGGAGAAGAGGGGATTAATATATAGAAAGGAGTGAGGAGTCCAATGATATGAGACGATGTCAGAATGGCCAAATGTAATGAAATCCAACGTGGCTTTTGCCAACACTTGCCATTATTTTTCTATCCCCAACTTGTCCCCCTTTTCCTCTCATCACTTTTAGTGCTTCTTTTACTCTCATAATTATTATTTTTTATTTATTTATTTTGCAATACCTAAAATTCCAATCCCCCTTTTCCCTGTGATGCATGATGATGGGATCCAATATCATGCATCCTTCTTCACATTACCACGTCTCAAAATGTATATGTACGCTTGTTCTTGTATATTCTCTTAATTTAATGATGATATAAATGAAAAAACTGACATATTCTAATGGTTGGTAGACAATGCAATCCACATGAATCTAAACCTTTTCAAAGCTGTGGGCCAACCGGCGGTTGTGATCCAATCATATCCATGTTGGATATATATATATATATATATATATATGGGAAATGAATATCAGATCTCACAAAACAATCAAAAGCTTCACTCGCAGAGTCACATTATTATAAACTATTCATGTTATTTATTGAACTTCTACGCATTGAATTACATAAGTTTATAGTAGATATAAGTTGAGTAGTTTATCTGTTATAATGTCAAGAAAAGTTTTTGTACCATTGCCTCAACAATAGAGGCTAATACATATTTGGACATTAAAAAAATAAAATAAATAATAAATAATATACATCATTCGTATGAATCATAATTGTTTCGCCCAATTTTTTTTCTCAACCAAAATCATGAGCATGGCGAGAAGAGCCCATGATTAAAGTTCAAAGTACTTATTACAAAGTAATTATCATATAACAATTATTATAATTGCAGAATGATGGTTCTTTACATCTTATGTTTTCCTTTGTCTGGTACACTTCATAATGCATTCACCTCTGCTCGCACTGTATTGTCTGTGTATTTTCATATTATTCAAGTAACCACAAAATTATATATAATTATATATATATAATATATATATGAATGACAATACTACTTGGATTCATTGCCATGGGCCAGTGTGTCCACTCGTGCTGTCTTATTTTTTCTTCCTATTTTTTATGGGGGTAATAATAGTTTCATAGACTGCTCGTAAATCTATTAAATACAATTGGAACAATGAATATTAATATAGGAACGATGTCATCATATTATATATATATATCATACAAATAGTTTATTTTATGTTTTTGGTAAATGGACATCGTGAAGCGCGTCATAAAGGCGTGAGTGAGACGCGCTTCCTCGGATTCCACAGAGAGAGAGAGAGAGAGAGAGAGAGAGAGAGAGAGAGAGAGAGAGAAGACGTGAATCGAACGCGCCGTATAAAGAGAGTAAAGATTCGGAGGAGGAGCGACAATGATGGAGAGCATGATGGTTCTTGAGATCTCCTTAGTTTCGTGGGTCCCAATGAGTTCCATTGGATCCGACAACATATCGAGTAAAGCGTCATGGGGCGTTCAGCTGTCCCCACGTGTTCCTCCTTCACGCTCTCCCCTGTCGCGTGTGGTCTACGCTCCCACGCTCTCTCTTTGCAATCATTTCCTTTTGAAAAACATTTTCCAAACAAATTTGTTCCATTTTTCTGAAGCAACCATGTACTATATAGTAGCGTACACATCCACAAAAATGTCATGAAATTGCTTCTTCTGGAATTTTCCGAAGTCATCACCTCTTGTTTAAAAGATGGGTAGAAATAATTGATCTTGGGAAAGGAAAAATGTGTATTTTCCATGTATATCTTCTTTGCTTATCGTCAAACCCTTAGAATAAATTTATGTTTTATACACATTTTTAATCGTAAAGTTTGGAGAAAGAGGTAATATGAATTTTAAAATAAAACTTACTTTTTTTAATTTGTATTTTGACGAGTTATAATCATTTGATGAGACGTAGATGTGTTTTGCTTTTAGGTACGGCTGCTAATAATTAATTTTCCTAATCATGCTCGATAGTTATTGTTAATAATGATCGCATGGATTCATTATTGAATTTATACATATATATATATATATATATATATATATATATATATATAGATGAACAATATAATTGCCTAGAAGATATACAAACGCCGATCTTACAGTTAAGATTTTGCATCATATGATTAGGAGGAGGAATCTACATATATGGGTGTTGGAGATATGAATTTAAGAATTGAAGTGATATTAGAGGAATGAATATTAATATTTAGTTTCATAAAAAAAAAATATTAATATTTGGTGGCGGGAGAGAGGGAGGACCAAGATGGATCGTTCGTGCATGACAATTATATCGTCCCATGTGGATTCTACGTGGCGCACATATTCCTACGCGAACCAAACCACCCTTTTGACAGCGAATCACACGTGTGCTCTTCTCCTCCCACACGTGCACTCCCGTTCAAAGGCTCCTCTCTCCTCGCTGTATCCGGTCAACGGTCAACCTCCTCTCTCTCTCTCTCTCCCTCCCTCCTTTTTTTTTTGGTTCGTGTTCAAAATTAACTGGGAAGCCATCTGCATTCACATGCGCGAGCGCGCGCGCGTGGAATATAAGTTGTCTTTGCGAGGCCAACCTGCGTTCAAATAGTTGGTTGCAGTAATTAATGATATGATCATCTTAGGATCGTGTTTGTTTGTCGTTGTTACCTTTTAGTTGCAGTAAAATCGAAATTACCGCCACGTAAAAAAACCCTCGAAGTAGGCGAATACAGAATATTAATATGGTTTTGTCCTTATTCGTTAGCCGGACGGAGATCGTCTATGACCGTCGGGTGAAAGTTCGAGGGAGGAGGAGGTGGGTCCGACGCCATGTGATCGGCTGAGCTGCTCGCCATATGATTTTGATTTAAACGTTTGGAATAATTTAGCAAAGTTCAGTTTGGGTTTGCTCTTGTTTTGTTGCACGTGCACTCCTGCATTTCGACAGAGAGAGACATTATTCATTTGAGACGAAATTATGAGTGAAATTTTACCCCAAAAAAATAAAATTTTACCAAAAAAATAAAATTATGAATGGAAGGGAAATTGAAAGAAGTATGGTAGGTAGGAGAGGATATGAGTTTTGACCCAAGTTTTGGTGGTTCAACCCAAATTCAAGTTTTTATTTGGGGAAGAATATTTACTTGAATTTCTCTGGTGTTTTTGAAAGATGCAGAAGTCACCATAAGTTTTGAGGGATAGGAATAATTTGTGAGTGGTTGGTGGAATTAGGGAATCTCTCTCTCTCTCTCTCTCTCTCTAAGTACAATGGCACATGATTCCATTCAATTCTCTCTCTTAATTTTTTGCCCAAACAAATCAAATCACATCGCGTATCATCATCAATTCAATGACGCGATTAAATGATTATGTTTTCCAACTATTTTTGTTTTGTTTTGTTATTATTGTGACAATTGCATAACCACCACAACAACGGAAACACAGAGAGACGATATTAAAGTGTAACGATACATAGAATCGGTAAATGTAATAGACGTAGTCGATGTTAAGATCACATGCAAGTAAAGTATTTGTCGGATGGTATTTATCATATTCAAAGTGTGTAACAGTGAGTGATCACGTGCGCGTGTTTTGGTGATTGTGACTTCGAGGAGGTTCCCTTTTTTCCCCTCCCATTCTTCTCAATCAGTTATTTTTTTTTTTAAATTTTTAAAATTTTTGGGTATTAGGTATTATGATACTGTCAATTAAATGAAGTGAAGAGCAACATGTAAATCACTTTGGATATTAGACAGATAGATATACAAAGACGTCATTTGATTCTCTAGATGACTTTTGAATATTTGCTTTGCTGTACCCCCCAACCAAAATAAAAATGTTACAATCATATGTCTTGCAATGGAGCATTGCTTAGCTAAACATCTCATAACCCTATGTTTCCTATAGACCCGAAACAATCATTTCCCATAACAATAACATAATAGAATAGAGAGGGAGAGAGAGAGAGAGAATGTTTGTGCTGTTTTCAATTGAGTTCGCATTCTTGAGTACTTGAATCTCCTAAATCAGCCCATCCAACCAAATTATTGAAATTCTATTCTAAGAAATGATTCTCATTCATGTTTGATATGTAAATCGCAATTCTTATATATTCTTTATAAAAAAATATCAAAATAAGATGACCCAACTGATAAGGAAAGAAACAAAACTTCTTCTTGCCCTAAATTCGATCTTCATTTGGAGAGGTTATTCACCTGAACTCCTAGATATAGTTAGACAAAAAATCCACTGAACTTTCGAAATATAAAAAAAAAAAAATTATCAAGCAATCATACCACCCATCTTCATCTCCGATCTACCATTTTACTTTCACACTTACTAATGGAATTGGTAGGATAATTGATCAAATATACCATTCATTTGTACTGCAAACTCCATGGCCGGACACATTGAAAAAGATGTAACCCTCACCAAGATTAGCTAAGATATATATGGTGTAGGATATGATGGCAGGATCATGCAGAAAAGTGATCCAGTTGGTTGTGATTAATGTTATCTATGCTCTGTCCTGAGGATCAGATCAAACTTCACATTTGATTTGCTAGTCCTTACGCATTTTCTTTGTCATAGTAACAAGAACAAGGAAATGAAATGAAGGGACACAGATCTCTGCCTACCAGAAAGGAAAACTAGAAACCATATATATATATATATAACCTTTACCCATATTTACTTTCTTGTAATGTAATGATTTTTCTTCCTATTATGTTTAGTAAACCCTGAAACTAGAAAATGCATTTCATATACCTCGAAGGAGAGACATCCATTGTATTTTACTGTTCTGTATCTCGGCCCCGCAACTGCAACAACAAAATTCATAGTACCAACTGTTGTGTCAAACACTACACATAAAGAAACGTGTTAAAAAAACAGAGCCACAAGGCAGCAATAGCATGGACACAAGACAGACCTTTTCCTTCATCAAAGCCTCGCGGGCACGCATTCCTTGATCATCTCTTCTCTGCAATCACAGTTACCGACACTCTGTAGTTCTTGTCATCGGTTACAAGCGAAAGAAAGAAAGCACCACTCATCACGCAGCTTTTACAAATCCAATTTACAGTGACTAATAATACCGTGGTTGCGATTCTCAACATCCGGTTACGGATTTTGAATCATCAGTACCTGATTGTCAATCGAGATCCATTCTTCTTTTGTATAAAGAGTCCATTAATTAAGAGAACGGGGCTTGCAAACTAAGTTGAATAGAGTAAGCAAGATATTGCACCTTGGACTGAGAATTGGCTGCTCTGAAGCAAATCAGCATTCAGTCCCACAAGGCTCAATCCGGGGAACATAACCTACAACACAAGGAAAAAAAACCCCAAAGCTTTAGCTGATATATGTAGCAGCGTGGCGCAATTCCTCCAACACCTGAGACTTACATCGAGATGTTTCTGCAAGGTTTTCGGTCGCTTTCGCGGCCGACGAGACGGCCTGTTTCCGCTCATGCTGAAGATGTCTTCTTCGATTTCGTCTCGCGAAAGAGCAACCCATAGCCTCGGATTCTCGTTCCTTCCCTCTCCGCCGCCTAATCCCCGCGATTCTGCTTGAACCCCTCTGTGTCTGCTCGATTTCGGCTCCATTCCAACGCCGGATTTCTGGTGTTTTACCTCCGAAAGTCCACCGCCTCCGCCGCATGCCTCCTGCGAGAACACGCCATTGATCTTCTTCGAACCGGCACTGCTCCTCCTTGGCCGTAAGTTCCACGTCCTCTTCACCTCCCCCTCCTCTTCCTCCTCTTCCTCTTCCTTCCGGTCCACCGGAACTTCCCCTCTCTGCGGCAGGGCCCGCTGCTCTTCACGCGCCGTCGCGTCTCCAAGCCCTTTCTGGTTTTCATGGACGGGCTTCGCCGATGACGGAGCCAGGGAGGAGAAGGAGAGGCGCTGCTGCCGTGTCGACCATGATCCGATTCCTCGGTCGGCCATCCCCGGCGCCGGAGACGAACCCCGGTGGACTTCGTCTCCTAGCTTCGGCTCCACATCGGTCGTGGCGGAGGCGTGGAGGGTCGCGGAAGTGAAGCGACGGAAGGACTGCGCATCCGAGATCGGCGGAGCAGACATATATACGGTGCAGAAACTTTACGTATAGAGGGAGAGATTGAAGATCTAAAAACCCTAAAAAGTAAAAACCCAAGAGGGACGACGCAGAAAGCGCGAAGAGAAATTACAGAGAAGATGCATGCGAATTGCCTTTCAAAACGGGAATTTTACTCAAATGAACGACTTCGTTCGCAACTATCTCACGTGTACACAAGAAAACTTTTTTTTCGTGTGAAAAGACGATATTACCCTTAATGAATACGTGATTTTTATCCGTTCGAAAACAACTTCGTTATTACGACTTCGTAATTAATTCTAAATATAGTTACAATTGATTTTAAAAAAGGTAGCAAAAAAATCATCTGTCTTATTTTAGTGGTATATCAGTTATATGTTAGTCGTAATAAGGTCACAAAAAATAAAACGAAAAGGGTATTTTGGACTTTTCCAACCAAAAAGTGGGTTAAAATTGAAATTTTTTTTTCTTTTTCGGTGGTGTACACTGAAATTGTTGCGACCCAAGTAGGATATTTGAGTAATATTTCCTTTCAAAACCTCTCTCGTTTATTAATCTTCCGTCGTCGCATGATAAAACTCCTGAATTTCTTAAATATGTTTTCTCCATATGATAATTAAAATGAACTGAAATTAAAAGGGGCAATTTCAGGTGAGATTCGGGTCCGTACGTGGATGCACTTAATATTCACATGAATAACTAATATCTTGTATCCGATTATTTCGAAACGTTGACGAGTAATCCACGTGTATAATATTCAGCTTCAATTGAATACTATATGTTATCGTGGCGAAATATTTAAATAATATGATGATGTGAATATCACCAAGTCCATGGACCGTGTTACAAAGAAAAGCCTTTTTAAACTTATTTAAATAATTCGGGATATTTAAACTTATCATTAGTTTAATCGGATTAGGAATACAAAAAGATATGCCTAATTGGTTTGACCGCAGGTCAACGGAACGAAATCCACACCACGAACGCAAAAAATAAAATCCGACCAGATAAATTAATTTCATATTTTGTGGAATTAATCGGCCCATATCAACCGTTATTATTCTCTCCCTTCGTCATCAGGTTATCTTATCTATTTGCGAGATTAGCTGCCAATGCCGTTCCATTCGTAACGGAGGGTCCGATTCTGTTCCCTTCAGATCCGGCTCCGACAGGACGACCCGGTCGGAGATGACTCGCCGGTGCTCTCACTGCAATCTTAATGGCCACAACTCTCGGACGTGTCCGAACCGAGGGGTCAAGCTCTTCGGCGTTCGCCTCACCGAAGGCTCGATCCGGAAGAGTGCGAGTATGGGCAATCTCAGCCACTACGCGGGTGGGCATAGTGGAACCGGGTCGAACTATCCGGGTTCTCCCGGAGATACTCCCGACCACGCCGCCGGCGACGGTTACGCTTCCGAGGATTTCGTCTCCGGCCCCTCCTCCAGCCGCGAGAGGAAGAAAGGTATCTCAACTCCCTCTTTCGTCTCTGATTTCCCAATTTCTTTTACCCCTTTTTGGTGTCTTTTTTCTTCGAATCTTCTAGCGAATTCATTTGAAATTTCATTGCTGCGATTTCGTTCAAGCAGATGCTGAAGAATCGAATTATCGGCTGCAAATCTCGAACTAGACTTCGACCTCATTTCTGCATATTTGCTTGTTTGCACATGCGCGTTTTTACGCAATAGGAGTTGATTCAATGGAACTGAAATTGCTTTGTTAGCAATCGTTTTGTTGATTGTACTGTATCCCTTTTCTTAAAGATTCTCTGGGATTGTGTAACAAGTCTCGAGCTTGGTTCTTGGCTTGATTGATTGCCATTACAATAGTTTGTTGTTCTTTTGGTGGAAAGTCCCTTTCCGATCAAATTGTATTGGTTCCATGCATGGTGGGTTTTGGCAAGAAAATTGATCAATTCTTGCTGATTGTTAGCCCATTTGATTGCACTTATAAACCCATATGGTTTTTTTTTTCAATCGTTGGATTCTTTTAAGGGTTCATAATGGTTTAGTTTACTTGTGTTGTTATGTAGGAACACCGTGGACAGAAGAGGAGCATAGGATGTTCTTATTGGGTTTACAGAAGCTAGGAAAAGGCGATTGGCGTGGTATCTCCAGAAACTACGTGACTACAAGAACGCCGACACAGGTTGCGAGCCATGCTCAGAAGTACTTCATGAGACAGTCCAATGTGTCTCGCCGTAAAAGACGTTCAAGTCTCTTTGATATGGTTCCAGACGAGGTTAGTACATAACTCTTATCTTCTCTGAGGAAAAAAAACCTGGTTTGAGTGGTTCTATCTGCATATTCTAACAACAGTGGATGTGTTTGGAGTTCTTTCTGTTGTCTTTCTTGTCAGGAAAAGAGCTGACTAAATCCTAGTTTAGAAAAAAGTCGGTGCTGGGCTTTTTAGGGGTTATGAAATGAGAATACGGTAAAAAGGGTGGGTTGAATTGATTTGAGACGGGTTAATTGGAACTTCTCCTCTGCACTTTCTGTATATTGTTGATGTGGACATCATATGGCCAAATTCTTTGTCAAAATCAGGCGTCTGGTTCGCTTACGACTTTGTCAAGTTTGATTCAAGATGCCAACGACTTGACAGATTTTGAATTGAAATGAGGCGGTTTAGAGCTTATTGTTGTAGTAGCAATTAGATCCTGTTCGCAAGAGATTTTGTACAAGATTCCGAAGCGCAAGGAATAAAGCCGTGCAGGCTTCTTGCCCAAACGTAGACGGTTTCCTTTTGGGGACGGGTCTGAATTGTCATTTGGAGCACCATTTCGGTTTATGCTTCTTCTTTTTGTGGTGCTCACCTCATAATGTAATCTCGTTTGCAGATATCAGATGTTCCAATGGAGCCGCAACTCGTGAACTGTCACACAGAAACTCAAATTCAAGGCAACGACCCTCTTCCTGTTCTCCCTCCAGCTCCAGTTCCTGTTATTGCTCCATCAATTCCGAGAACTGAAGAATGCGAATCCATGGACTCCACCAAATCTAGCACAGGCGAGCCGCCCATGGCAGCAGCCACCGCCTCCTCATCCTCCAAAGCAGAGGAGAACAAACCACTACAACTGCCTGCTTCATTCCCTGTACTGTATCCAACCTACTTCTCGCCTTTCTCCTCTTTCCCGGTCCCGATATGGCCTGCTGTTGGGTACATCCCCGAGCCTGCCCAGAAGGAAGAGGTTCACGAGATACATCGGCCGAGGGCAGTGCACTCGAAAGCCCCGATCAACGTGGATGAGCTTCTCGGCATTTCTAAGCTCACCCTTGGAGAATCCATCAGAGATTCTGAGCAGTCGCGTTCCCTGACCCTTACCGGGGGATCATCATCCTCGTCAAGACAATCGGCTTTTCATCCGAATCCGGCCTCTGATAGTTCCGACATGAACAGCCCTATTCACGCGGTCTAAGGCTCCGTTGATGGATTGTTCAGTTCGGTCTTTTGAAAAACTCATGTGGTTTAGCTTTTTAGCCCTGTGACTCACCTTAGATATAACATCGACTGTTTTCGCCGTTTGCGTTAACTTAAATAAGATTGTTAATTTGTTATGTATATGTATATGGGTGTATAACTTGTTCATCTTTGAATATTAGAGGCACCAAAAAAAATTATTTATCTCTTAGATTCTTATTGGTAAATGTTAAATCAGATGTGATTTTTCGGTTCGCGTGACGTTCAATTTCCTATTAAAACAGTTGACCCAAAAAAAAGAAAATGCATTGAATTTGTATGCGTGTTAATAATGTATTGAGATGTTTTAATGAAATTTTCGTGTGTGATTGGTGTTTTGGGCCGGAATAAGGCGAAGCCCATTGGATAATGTATAAAACGCATCGTTTCGTTGCGTCTCTCCTGTGACGAACGAGGGATAAGCCGTGACCGAAAGATCGGACCCTCGGGGACTAAAGGAAGCATGAACAACATTTTCAATCTCGGTCGAAGTACCTCGCGGCCATGGCCCAGCAGGAAGAAGCAAGCTCATCGATCTCGAGCCTTGGTGTTCGCCATCCCATTCCTGGTTCTTGTCCTCATCTTCGCCTTCTTCATCACTTCCTTTCGTATTCCCAAGTCGCTCTTCTCCATCTCTGCCTTCGCCGGATCCGTCCAATACCCTCAATGCAGATCCGAGACACTGACCGGGTCTCTCCTGGGCCAGAAGTTTCTGTGGTATGCGCCCCACAGCGGCTTCAGCAATCAGCTTTCGGAGTTTAAGAATGCGGTTCTAATGGCGGGAATACTCAATCGGACCCTGGTTGTTCCTCCGGTCCTCGATCATCATGCCATCGCTCTCGGAAGTTGCCCGAAATTTAGGGTTTTGGAACCCAGCGAGATTCGTGTCTCTGTTTGGAATCATTTTCTGGATCTTCTCAGGACTGGCAGGTCGGCTATTCTTTGATCTCCTTGTTCGCTTTTGTTGAAGTTTGTTGCTGGACCACATCGTTGTCTGAGCTTGTTTGTCGAATTCCTTCCTAGTTCTTCAGAATTCCGTTTGTTCGGGTGATATTTTATACTTATGTAAGTGATAAAGCTTCATTGTAATTACAGATATGTTTCCATGGCTGATATCGTGGACATTTCCTCGCTGGTCTCTTCTTCGGCTGTTCGAGTCATTGATCTCAGGTACTTCGCTTCTCTGTTGTGTGGTGTGGATTTGGAGATTCTATGCTCCAGTGAATTAACTGAAAAATCTCAAGCTTACGAAGCTTTAAAGCAGTGCGGATCTCTGTTGTCTGGAATTAATGGCAATGTAGATAGATGTTTATATGCTGTGGATGAAGATTGTCGAACAACTGTTTGGACATATAAAAATGTCGATTCTGATGGAATGTTAGATTCATTCCAGCCTGATGAAAGACTCAAGAAGAAAAAGAAAATATCATATGTGAGAAGACGCAAAGATGTGTATAAGGCTCTTGGACATGGCAGTGCAGCTGATTCAGCTACTATTATGGGATTTGGAAGCCTCTTCACAGCTATGTACAAAGGTTCAGAATCGTATATCGATATCCATAAATCCCCAAAAGATCAAAGGATACAATCTCTGCTCGAGAAGATTGAATTCATTCCTTTTGTTTCAGAGGTAATGAGTGCTGGAAAGAGTTTCGCCTCGGAAACCATAAAGGCGCCGTATCTTTGTGCACAGCTAAGAATGTTAGACGGGCAGTTCAAGAATCACTGGAAAAACACTTTCGCGAACTTGAAACAGACATTGGAGACGCTGAGCCAAAAGGGTCCACGACCAGTTCATGTATTCATAATGACAGACCTCTCTGAAAGCAACTGGACTGGGACTTACTTGGGTGATTTGTCTAGGAATTCTGCAGATTTTAAGCTGTATTTCCTCAGAGAACAAGATGAGCTGGTAAAGCAAACACAAGAGAAGCTGGCTTCTGCTGGGCATGGACAGAAGTTTGGGTCTATACCAATGAGTCTTGAGAATGTAAAGAAGATGAAGAACCATTGCATTCCACGTAGTTTATCAGACGTGCAACTTTACATAGAGGAAGCTGTTTGCAGCTGTGCTTCCCTTGGTTTTGTGGGCACCGCTGGGTCTACAATTGCTGATAGTGTTGAGCTAATGAGGAAATTCAATGCTTGTAGTGGTGGAGCTCGGAGAGCATTGTAGCGGGTTTTGATTTATTTGTACAAGTCAGAAGCTTGGATCTTGGGATTTTTGCATTTGGCTTTTGGTATAGCCAATGCTTCAGATTGCATTTCGACTGATGGATTGCACCATGTAACTCCTAAATGTTCGGAATCTCATATCAAATATAGTGACAGTTAATGCAGGCATTTGGTCATGGTCTCGACAGTGTAAAATATATTTCTCTTCTGATTGCTTGGCTGATGAGAGAGATAGAAGAATCTTTAAAAGTGCCCACTGTCCAGGAGGGTTATGGTAAGAGACAGAGAATGTGTAAAAATCAGGCATCGCTTATTGTCAGCTGGTGAATGTGTCTTCGGTCTTGGGCTTTCTATTCCTGATTTGTTCGGTTTTCCTTTGGAACACAAACAGAAATTCATTTTATTTTTATTTTTTAAAAATTAGTATTAATTACAGAGATCAACTTCTAACGGGTTGTTAGCCCATAAAGGGCCCAACACTCATCCACGCCTTTTCACGAGTCCTCTGAACCCTATATTTCGGAACTTCATTGCTTCAACTCCTCAGATTTTGGAATTGTACAGCGCCGTAGCCATGGGTACGTCGTTCTCTCTTTCACTCCTGTCTCGCCGTCTCTTGTTTGTGCGAGCTTATCTTAACTTCGGATTTTTTTTAAAAGAATTTTTGTGTATGATTTAATTTAATTTTAACGTTGAAAATGGTGGAAATTAGGGGCGTACAAGTACGTGTCGGAGCTATGGAGGAAGAAGCAGTCGGACGTGATGAGGTTTCTGCAGAGGGTGAGGTGTTGGGAGTATCGCCAGCAGCCTTCCATTGTTCGTCTCACTCGTCCCACTCGTCCCGACAAGGCTCGTCGTCTCGGCTACAAGGCCAAGCAGGTTCCTTTCTTCATTTTCTGCTCGAGTTATGTTTCTGCTGGTTTAGCGGTATCTTGATGCCTAAGATGATGCGATACTTCCTGAGACCAGCCACATTGAAAGATTCGTCAATTATCTGACCGGGCAGTTCCTATTGTTATGTGGACTCTGCTCTTGTCTCGATTGATACATTGTTTCATTTTTTTTCTTTTATACTATCTTGGCCTGTTCCTTCCTGGGTTGATGTTTGTGTCTGATGCTTCGGGTATTGAAACAGGGATTCGTGGTGTACCGGGTACGAGTGAGGCGTGGAGGTCGGAAGAGGCCTGTTCCTAAGGGTATTGTGTATGGGAAACCCACAAACCAGGGAGTTACCCAACTCAAGTTCCAACGCAGCAAGAGATCCGTTGCTGAGGAACGTGCTGGTCGCAAATTGGGCGGCCTTAGGGTCCTCAACTCTTACTGGATCAATGAGGTACCCAAGCACTACTATACTTGTGCTCTTGCATGTTTTTTGTGCAAGTCTACACTGCCCCGCTGTAGATGTGTGAAAGTGTTTCCATGGGCAATGTGTGTGTGTTTTATGGGCAAATGAGCCATGGATTAGGGTAGGGTGTGTTTTTTTAGCTAAAGCACCCTTTTGGCACTCTTGAGTATGTGCACTTGTGTAGGTGTATAGTTTCACATTTCTTCACAAGGGTTATAGACTGAAAATGTGCCTCTATCATGTTTGTCATTTGTGCCTCAGCACCTTTCTTTACTTGTAAGCTGATTTTACAACCTCTCCTATCAAGTCCTGCATGGTCATTGTTTCTTTCCGGTCTTTTAAATGTATAGGATTCCACATACAAGTACTACGAGGTGATACTGGTGGACACTGCACACAGTGCCATCCGGAATGACCCGAGAGTAAACTGGATATGCAACCCGGTTCACAAGCACAGGGAACTCAGAGGGCTCACCTCGGAGGGAAAGAAGAACAGAGGTCTCCGTGGAAAGGGACACCTCTACCACAAGAACCGCCCGTCTCGGAGAGCCACCTGGAAGAGGAACAACACCCTCTCCCTCCGCCGCTACCGCTGATTTTCATTTCACTGGAAAATTTTGTTGTTTTTTCCCAATGGTAACCTGTGTTCTTTGGAAATTCAGAAACTTAAAAGGGCCAGTTTAGTTTGTACAAACATTACTTCGAACAGATTTTCATAGTATTTGATCATTGTGGTTTACATTTTTGTTTCAGTTTCATGTGTAAGAAATAGTTTTGGAAACCTTTTCTTGAAGAGCACGTTTTCATAAACTGCGCCATAAATCCTTCGTATTCTCAGTTATAACAGTACCTTACTACAGGACCAAAAACTTGCTCTTGATGGGGTTTTGCTTTCAGATTGAGTAGCTGAAGCTTCAACTCTCATCCAAAAAGGCCATAGGATTTAGGTATCTTTAACTGTGGTTTCAAGTTCATCATTTTTTGTCTGTGTTTGCAGTTTTCCAGAAAGTACGCACAATTTTGCAAGTCAGTGGATGTGTCTGCTGGGAGGCTAATCTTCTACTTTGGTATTGTTATCCTCTCCTCTGTCTGCTTGGCTATTTCCCTTTTACTTGTTAGGAAAAAGAACGAGCAACCACTGAATTCTTTGCTTATCAAATAATTTATTAAAACATCTTTTTTCTCACGTTAACTGGTTTTTATTCATCTACTTGCTTATTAGTAAGCATCTCCTATGGTGATGAAAAGGGTTGGATTGGATCAGGTCATCCATGAACCATTTGTTGGGTTCTGGTTCACAACTAGCAATGCAATATGAATTTGTTAGTAGAAAAGTTGATTTAGAAAAATCAAAGGTAAGAAAAGTCCAGGTCAAGCAATGATGCGTGGTGCAATCTTTCATGGACTTGGAATTTCGGAGTCAAATTGGAAAATAGAAAGCACAAATGTAAAATGTCTTCAACTTATGTTCGGTTGCTGAACTGACTGGTAAAATATCTCCACTCCCTCCCTCTGTCTCTCCCTATGAACTGTCTTCAGAAAGAACAGGAAAGATGGGAGAAAGACATGGTTACTTAGCTCACCCTATGCTAGTCTGATACTTGTTGGGAAGTAAAAGAGTTGTTTTGGAAAAGAAAAGGTCTAAAAAGTCTAGGTGAAGTAATAGTCCATAATTTGACCTTTCATGGATTTGGAGCTTCATTAAGTCGACAGGAAATGAATAGATACGAATTTTTTTTCAACTTTGATTATTCTGAGACTAGTTCTATACGTTCAGTTACTGTGCTGACTGGTAAAACATCTCCATCTCCCTGTTCGAGTCTCTCTACATTTAAAATATAAATATTACGATTTCTGTGTTTTCATCTTTTCTTGGCTTGTTGAGGAACAGGAAAGAATGGTTGGAGCTGATTACTTGGCTGATGAAAGAGAGAGAGCCGAGTTTGATGTGGAGGAGATGAAGATTGTCTGGGCGGGTTCTCAGCATGATCTTGAAATGTCTGGTCGGATTGCTCGCCTTGTTGATAATGATCCTGTAAGTTCCACTTCCTCACTTTCCTTTTCCTCTTATTTTTCTTGCTCGCTCTTGGAGTCGATGTGTGTGGTTAATTGTCTTCTCAGGTCTTCCGCAAAGACAACAGATGTACGCTGGATAGGAAGGAACTCTATACAAACACGCTGAGAAAAGCTGCTCATGCATGGAAACTGATTACCGAGCTTCGCCTCTCTGGTATATCTCAAGCTATTCTTAAACTTGTGTGACTTCTCGAGATTCCCGTGATAACAAAATCTCTGCTTTATAATCAGAGGAAGAAGCGTTTAAACTGAGATTTTACATAGACCAGCCGTCTTTTATGGACCTTCACTGGGTAAGTTTCCACCTATGTGTGCTTTGATGACATCATTCATGTCTTTATATAACCGGCGAATGTTTGCTTTCCTTATCCTTCCAGCATATGTTTATTCCAACAATCGCCGGACAAGGGACAGAGGAGCAGAAAAGGAAATGGCTGCCGCTGGCTTACAAAATGAAAATTATAGGCACTTATGCACAAACAGAGCTAGGACATGGATCTGACATTCAAGGCATCGAAACAACTGCAACTTTTGATTCCAAAACTGATGAATTCATCATGCACAGTCCTACTCTAAGTTCTAGCAAAGTGAGAAACATATGACAGGAATGTTCTCCATCGTTTTATAATACAAGCTGGCTCTTATTGTTCTCTGATTTTGGCTGTTTCGAACAGTGGTGGCCAGGAGGACTAGGAAAAACTTCCACTCATGCTGTGGTTTTTGCTCGACTCGTAATTGGTGGCCAGGATCATGGAGTGAATGGTTGGTGGTACTAATCGAACTCCATTTTTCACCAAAAGCTTGACTTATGTGGGAAAGTTCCTTTCCTTTTTCAGGGTTTATTGTGCAGCTGAGGAGTATGGATGATCATTCACCTCTTCCGGGCATCACCGTTGGTGATGTCGGGATGAAGTTCGGCAATGGAGCTTATAACTCTATGGACAATGGTTTTATGAGATTTGATGACGTTCGCATCCCCAGGGATCAAATGCTAATGCGGTAGTTACTGTCTTCTTGCCTCCTTCACTTTTTCTTTTCCAAGACACTGTCTATTATTTTTGAAGGTTGTCTCAAACTGCAGGATTATGGAGGTTACAAGAGATGGAAAATGCGTGAAATCTGGTGTACCATCACGGCTGGTATACAGTACGATGTTGAGCACTCGGCAAAAGGTCATGTCTGAGGCTTCCTTAGGTCTTTCACGGGCAGTTTGTATTGCAGTTAGATACAGTGCAGTTCGTAGACAATTTGGATCAACGAATGGTGGTCTCGAGAACCAGGTTCCGTTGCCTACATACATTTTCCTTAAGCCATGAATCTTTTTTATTTTGCTGGTTTCCATGTCGAGAATATAATACATTTGAAAGCGTTGTAATTCTTTATATTCAGGTGATTGATTATAAAACACAGCAGAACAGACTGTTCCCTTTGCTGGCTTCTGCTTATGCTTTCAGATTTGTTGGTGAGTGGCTCAAGTGGCTTTACACCGATGTATCTAAGAGGTTTCATGCCAATGACTTCTCAACTTTGTCCGAGGTTCATGCATGCACTGCTGGCCTCAAGTCTCTCACGACATTTTCCACTGCGGTAATTACTAAATATCGCACTTCATTTCCCATCTTCCTGATATTATTGATGGAAAAGATGTTATTGGTTTCCATTCAAAAACAAAAGTATTTTGGCCCAAAATCTTCATGTTTACTGCTTTTTGCCTCTTGGGAAATTTGGAAAATGGAACTTCCAGTTCAACTTGTATTCCGTAAAGGTTACATGGAGATAATATATGATGAAATGGCCAATGCAAATACTAACATTTTACATCATTGATCACTTTAATTCTGGACTTTCCTCATAGACTGGTGCACATACTTACAGTAATCATTTTGATATGAGGACAGGATGGGATCGAAGAATGTCGTAAGTTGTGTGGTGGGCAAGGTTACTTGTGTAGCAGTGGTCTCCCTGAGCTATTAGCTGTTCATCTACCCGCGTGTACATATGAAGGGGACAACATTGTACTGCTTTTACAGGTATTTTGACTGTCAAAGATTTGATTCTCTTCATCATTGCTCGTTCTTTCAGACAACCAAATTCCTTTTTGGTTCTGCATTTCAGGTTGCAAGGTTCCTCATGAAAACAGTGTCACAGTTGGGTTCAGGTGTGGCCCTTGTCGGGACAACAGCTTATATGCAAAGAGCAGAGCACCTGATGCAATGTTGTTGTGATGTTCAAACTGGTAATTATTAATTTTCGACTAATACATTTAGGTTTCAGGGTCCTTATAGTTTCTCAAAAGTCGATAAGTTTGAGTTTTGTTTGTATAGCTGAGGATTGGTTGAGGCCTGGTGTGATAATAGAGCTATTTGAAGCAAGGGCCATCAGGATGTCCATTGCCTGCTCAGAATCTCTCAGCCAGTTTGTAAACTTTGAACAAGGTACCGACCGGCTGAGAGAAAAACGAAAAATTATTATCTATTAATCAGATTCTGAGATCATCTGACGGTTTTTGTTACTCAGGTTTCTTTGAACTCTCAGCTGACATGGTAGAAGCAGCCATTGCTCATTGCCAATTGATAGTCGTTTGCAAGCAAGTTTTTCTTCATCAAGAACCCATTTCTTTTGAAGTTGTGTCATTCTTCCTTATTTCCATACGTTCTCATCCTCCTGCACAGGTTTCAAGAGAAATCAAAGCAAGACATACCGGGAAATGGCGTGAAAACACAGCTGGAAACGCTCTGCAGCATCTATGGACTCCATCTTATACGCAAACACATCGGTGATTTCCTCTCAACAGGATGCATCACTCCCTCCCAGGGTGAACTCGCTGGCCAGATGCTGCGGTCACTGTACGGTCGTATCCGACCAAACGCAGTGGCCCTCGTAGACGTTTTCAATTACACGGACCATTTCCTCGGCTCTGTTCTTGGCCGTTACGACGGGAATGTTTACCAGAAGCTCTTTGAGAATGCCTTAACTGATCCTTTCAACGATTCGGACGTCCATCAAGATGGGTACTCTGAATACATTCAGCCGATGATGAAGCGACGCCTACGCTCTTCGGCTTTATAGTTTTGGTTTTATGATAATATACGAGTGTCCTTTTTTGTATTAAAAAAAAAAGGACGCGTCTTTGTGTCGTGTTTGATGGAGAGTTTTGTCATAAACTTGGACTTGGGTTATTTCTAAGTTATGTTTGAAGTTAGTTGGACATGTTATGGGCCCGTGACGTAAGCTTGGACTTAATGGGCCTTAGAGGCCTGAATGACGTGGCAAGATCTGGTCATCAACTCCAGAGAGTTCCCGCGCTCTATATATTTACGCGACTGCCACGTGTGCCTTGTGTGATTTTGACGCGTGTCAGAAGGAGTCATTTCCCCACCTCCAAAGGCGCGATTTGCGTCTTCTCGGATTCAAACCCTTCTCCCCATTTTTCACTGGAAAGTGGAAACCCTAGTTTGAGCTCCTTTGCTTCGCGTCCACAGGTAGGCGCCATGCTCCCTCATTCGTACACCGTCGATTCGTTCTCTCAATCGCAGGACCTCGCCTCGGCCATTCTTGCCGCCTCCACGCCTTCCAAGATCTCCGCCGCCTGCGGTTCCGTCGAGTCGTTTCTGCACTCACACACGCCGGATCAGTCCCGCCATTTCTTCTCCATCACCTTCCCGACTCTAATCTGTAAGCTCTTCGGCTTTGGCGACGCGGCGGTGGCTCCTCCTCCTCCGTCGCAGTTGCCAAATGGATGGATTGACGTAGTATCGGCGTCCAACGATTCGGATTTAGCGGCTAGGATTTTCCATCTCTTGTCCCCGAGTGGAATCCTAATGAGTTCAATCTCTGCTGTTGATAAGTTATCTCTGGTTAAATACGTGTTCCCGACCGAACGCCTTCCGGAGTGGGCTCGATTCATGTTCTCGAGCGAGAAGGATTGCGGTGTCTTATCCGATTTGTGCCCGTTGTTCAGAGGTAAGGTTCAGGATGATTCATTGAAGGGGTCGTCGTATGAAATTAGGTTAAATGTTTTCGAGTATTACATGTTTTGGTTCGCGTATTACCCGGTTTGTAGAGGAAACAAGAAGAACTCTGTTAGAGTTTCCGTGAAAAGGACGAATAAATTCCGGTTAGAGCGCTGGGCATCTTCTATAAGGGGCTTCCCAGGGAGTAGCAAACGCGATCCGGATCTGAAACAGGACTGTTGTATATACCTAAGGCTTCTTTACGCTTATCTGAAAGCATTTGTACCTGTTTTTGACTTGAACGCACACCAGCCTTATCGTATCTCTCTTTTGCATTACGGGAACGGGTGTGATGGGTCCGTGATGACGAGAGCTGAATTTGTGGTGAACGTGTTCGTGCATTACTGGCTCGTTGATAATGATTTCTCACCTTTTTCTGTTGGTACGGCCAAATCGTTTGGTTTGTCTTTTCCCTTTCGTTCTGCTTTGGATGAGAATCCGCCAACTAGTGGGTTAGAGGAAGTGGTGAAGTTGCTTGTGAAGTACCTGAATCTGAGCTGGGTTACAAGTGGAGATGGTCATGAAACTTATCCTGAGTATGGTGAGAGTCCTCGATGGAAGACTCCGAGTTCTGGATCGTCGTTCAATGCTGTGAACTTTAGTCTCCGGCCGCCCGGTTCCTGGAACACTTATATACAGAGGCCGCTTTATCGTTTTATATTACGAACTCTCTTGTTCTGTCCTTTAGCGACTTCCATTAAGAATGCATCTCAGGTATTCTCAGTTTGGGTCACTTACATGGAACCGTGGTCAATCAGCTTGGATGATTTCTCAGATCTTGATGCTCCCGTAAATATGCTCCCAAAAGAAGTGAAAAGGGAAACTTCTGAATCGCACGCTTATGGCTATTCATCCTTGTGGCAGAACTATGTGATATCCAATTATTTGTACTACAGCTCTTTGGTTATGCATTTTATCGGCTTTGCGCACAAGTTCCTTCACACAGATCCTGAAACAATAACCCAGATGGTGCTGAAGGTTCGTTCTCTGATTTGAGCAATTTTAACAGGTTAAATGTTTGACCTCATCTTTGTCGGTCTGGAAACAGAAGAACTAGAAGGTGTTCTATCATTTGTGGGTTTTGTATTCTGTTAGGAAGAGCTAGCTCTTACATCTATGTGGCATATGGGTTGCATATTACCTCTGTTTTAAAGCTTAGTTTGACCGAGTGACTGATTTGTGTTTCTATTAATAGGTGATGAACATTCTAACATCGGCAAAAGAGCTTGCAGATTTGATAAAGACCGTTGACAGTGCATTTCATTCCAAAACACAAATGGCATCAGGAAAATCAACAGTGAACAGCTTGTCTAGATTTATTCCATCCATTCGTGAGCAGTTGAAGGTACAACAAATACTATTCTCTGTTTCAGCACTTGTTTAATTGTTCACTGCAGAATAAATTTTGTCATCACAAAGTATTTGGGTAACATGTATTAGCTACAGGGAATTTTGGTCTAAAAAGAGTGCAAAATTGATTAACCTTTCCTGAAGTCAGGTTATTTCTACACTGAAACACCTCTTACCATTGGCAGTGCATCTAATTTCACTTTAAACTGCATATGGAATCTCAGGACTGGGAAGATGGATTGTGTGAGAGCAATGCTGATGGATCGTTCTTGCATGAGAACTGGAACAAAGACTTGAGACTATTCGGTGATGGTGAAGATGGTGGACAACAACTGCTTCAGGTTTCTTTTTTTCCCCTTTATAATCTGGCATGTTGCTAGGTATAAGAAAATAAAGTTTCTTTTTATAGAATGTCGCATTCCAGTTTTCAGAATTTTCCATTGCTACAATCAGTTACTTTACACGTTTTTTGTCTAGTTTTTTTTTAATTCTTCAACCATAATAGCTAGTGCAACAATTGTTCAATGGTACTACTGCTAGTTAGTTCTGGATGTTATTTTTCTAGTCTTCAATAACTATCCTTCCCCATTTGTTTTCTTGTTTCTAGAAAATTGAAGAAATGCGTTTGCATTTGAAAGTACGCTCAAAAATGTTTTGATGTAGCTAATGAGATTTATTTTCTGCGCATTTGCAGCTATTCATAATGCGGGCAGAGGCTGAGCTGCAAGGTGTGTCTGGAAACAATAGCCGGCAAGTAATGGAGTGCATAGATGAACTGAAATCAAGAGTTGTAAACTTGTTCAAGGGGCATGTGATTAAACCAATTTCGTTTACACTAGAACCAGAGCAGCCCCAGAAGAATCGTGATGATCTGTTCAAGCCCAGGCGAGCTGGGAAGCAAGGAGTGGGCAGTGTGAAGTACAAAGGGGACTGGATGAACCGGCCAGTGTCAGAAGACGAGGTCAGATGGCTAGCTGAGCTTTTCGTTCACATCTCTTTCTGGCTGAACGAGCGGCTCGGGCTTAACCAACCGGAGGAAGAGGAGGAGGAAACAAAGGCAGAGCCTTATGCATATGTGGAGGTAGCAGAGGAGGTGAAGGGAGGTGGAGATGTGGTGGGGATGGTGCAGTTGATGAGGAGGTATGGTGTTCGAGTGAACCTCCGGGTTATGGCCTCGAAGAAGTTCCTGATGCTTCTGTTGCTGTACGCTGTTTATTTTGTACTCAAGAGGCTTCTTAGGATGGTTTTTTGAAATGCGTAGATAAGCCAAAGCATCATTACAGAAAATATATAGTATGGTCGCTGGCCTCGAAGAAGTTACCGGTTCCGGTGTAGACTCCTTGTAGTTTGTTTTTGTGGGAAATGTATGCCGTTTTACTTGTACAGATATAGATTGTGCGATGTTTTAATTATGTAGTTCAGCTCACAATGCCCATATCTCATGCGCCGAAGGTCTAAGCGCATGACTAGCGCGTATTCGACACGCTCCCATTTTCGGGGGTAGTCCAGAGATTCTCAGTGAAATTTAGCTATTTAGAAATTTGGGCGCGTGGAAGGTTCCGAAGATGCCCACCCTAATTTAAATTAATGCTTTCTATTTTTGGGTAGTATATGGGCCCATGAAATGAGAGTAGCTGTTATCTTTGGGTTGTTACATCTGTCCTCAAAATTATAGAAAGAGATGAATAAACTCGGAAGCCCACAACTTTACAGAAACGACGTCGTTCAAGACGATCACCAAAACCCTAGCTTTTATCTCAAGTCCGCTGTTTTAAAACAGAATTACGCGGCCGCTGTAGGAGACTGCTTGTGATCAGCCATGGGTACGTCTCTCTCTCTTTCTCTGTGAATGTTTTGCAAGCTCTCTTGCGTATGGTTTCTTGGTTGGGTTTTTGTTTTGTATGTCAGTGAAGTAAAGCTCACCAAAGCGAGTATAAGGGAATCTGTGAAAATGGTTAAATGACATTGACAGGGGCGTACAAGTACGTGTCGGAGCTATGGAGGAAGAAGCAGTCGGACGTGATGAGGTTTCTGCAGAGGGTGAGGTGTTGGGAGTATCGCCAGCAGCCTTCCATTGTTCGTCTCACTCGTCCCACTCGCCCCGACAAGGCCCGTCGTCTCGGCTACAAGGCCAAGCAGGTTCCTTTCTTCATTTTCTGATCGAGTGATGTTTTTTGCTGGTTTAGCGGTATCTTGATGCATAAGATGATGCGATACTTCCTGAGACCAGCCACATTGAAAGATTCGTCAATTATCTGACCGGGCAGTTCCTATTGTTGTGTGGGCTCTGCTCTTGTCTCGATTGACACATTGTTTCATTTTTTTTCTCTTATACGATCTCGGCCTGTTCCTTCCTTCCTTCCTTCCTGGGTTGATGCTTCGGGTATTGAAACAGGGATTCGTGGTATACCGGGTACGAGTGAGGCGTGGAGGTCGGAAGAGGCCTGTTCCTAAGGGTATTGTGTATGGGAAACCCACAAACCAGGGAGTTACCCAACTCAAGTTCCAACGCAGCAAGAGATCCGTTGCTGAGGAACGCGCTGGTCGCAAATTGGGCGGCCTTAGGGTCCTCAATTCCTACTGGATCAATGAGGTATTCTTATCACCTCTATGCTTGTTACACGTTTTTGTGTATATGCCTATACTGCCTTACAGTATATGTGTCAAAGTGTTTCCATTGGACAGTGTGTGTGTGTTTTTTGGGCATCTGAGCCCATAGTTTTGGATGTGTTTTTTTAGCTAAAGCACCCTTTTGGCACTTGTCTAGATGTATAGAAGCACATTTCTTCACACAAGAGTTATAGACTTAAAATGTGCCTCTATCATGTTTGTCATTGTGCTTCACCACCTTCCTTTACTTATAAGCTGATTTTACAATCTCCCCTGTCAAGTCTTGCATGCTCACTGTTTCTTTCCGGTCTTTGAAATGTATAGGATTCCACATATAAGTACTATGAGGTGATACTGGTGGACACTGCACACAGTGCCATCCGGAATGACCCGAGGGTCAACTGGATATGCAACCCTGTTCACAAGCACAGGGAGCTCAGAGGGCTCACCTCGGAGGGAAAGAAGAACAGAGGTCTCCGAGGAAAGGGACACCTCTACCACAAGAACCGCCCTTCTCGGAGAGCCACCTGGAAGAGGAACAACACCCTCTCCCTCCGCCGCTACCGCTGATTTTCATTTCACTAGACATTGTCATTATATTATGATGCTTGTAATGGACTGGATGCTTCTTGTGTTGTGGAAAGAATCGCAATATATGATATTACAAACTGTGTTTGGCTTCAAGTGCTCTTTTGGATTGCCGACCGACGAAAAGGCCTCTCCTCTCAAGTAAAGTTACGTTTTTTTCATTCTATCAACTTTGCACTTCACTGTTTCCGATCTCTTCGCTCTGTTTAGGGCTCGACACCCCTGCTTTGTATGACAAATACATTTAAACATATATTAGTCCATACACATAACAGTCTGTACAATGTCTCCCAAGTTCATAAGAAGATTCTGTTGCGTTTGCAGTAAAGGTTTCTCCAAGTCTCTCGTGGAGAATCTTTGTAGTGTATTATGACGTGCTGATGCTTTAACACAACACCTCGTCGATGTTGACATGCCGACGCTCCTCTATTGAAAGTTGTGCGGCAACTCCAATGGCTACAGACATCAGCCCATCTTCCAAACCCACAGCTGCACTTCTTTCCCTTCCTTCCTTTCTGATCTCTGATAACATGTAGAGGTGCTCCAGGAAACTGGATCCATGATGCAGCCCGTCATATCTGAATAGCCACAGCAATCAATAAATATGTTTTTTCATGCTTGTTTCTTAGTTCTTGATTACGTACAATACGGGCTGTTCATGTTGTTTTGGTGATGGTTTTAACAAAATTGATTGTTTCATACCATATGGAATCAGGCAATAACAGAAGATGAGAAAACCCCCACTTACTTTATCCTTTCATCTTTGGCTTCTAGCGTTTGAACGCCTTCTCTTCCTTCAGTGCGAGTGCCAAATCGTACAATGCTCTCCGGAACAAATGCCTCCCCCTGTCACAGATAGTGGAACATGCATGTTGTTTACGTCTAAGAAGAAATGATCTGAGAACTTTCGTGTATCCATCGCGTATCCCTCCCTACATTCTTTCGAAATATGTGCGACAACTTGTGCTTAATGTGTAATATATGTAAGCTTTATAACTTGAGATGAAGACCAATTTAAGAGAATAATGCATGAGGATTCCAACACGAGATTAAAGGCTGCTGTTTACAACAGAAAACAGAAACCTTCTAACGTGAGATTAGAGGTCCATGGACAACGAGGGCAAAATTAAATGGGGAGGGAAAAAAGAATACTACAAGAATATCTGTATCTATCAAAGCTCGGAAACCCTCAAATGTGATTTGTGTTACAAAGCACACATACAACTCTCCTAACCAAGAATGCACAGACAAGAAAGGGAACCAAAAAAAAATTAAAATTAGGCACTCACCTTTCCAGTGTCACCGACAACAGATATTTCTTGCTCATTTTTACTTCCTTCAGCAAACATGCAAAGATCGAGCATCCCTCGACATCCATTGTTGAATTCAACGATGACATAAGCGTTATCAATTATATCAGGGACCTGTTATGCGGCAACTCAAATAATATGAACAATTACCCTTTTTAAATGCAAACACTAATTTGGAATAGAATGTACCTTTCCATCATACACTTCGTCCTTATGGTTCACATCCATGCCCCCAGAAGCCATGATGGAAACAGGATTTGCACCAGCAAAGAGTCTCATGAGATCAAAGAAATGGCAGCATTTCTCTACTAGAGTACCTCCAGTGTTAACGTTGAACCTATTCCAATTGCCCACCTGTAAGGCGGAGTCAGGAGTCATACAAATGGGCTGTGTAAGGAATGATTGAGGATTAGCCAAGTTCATTTTGTTTAACCTTGACCAAGAATGGGAATCTGTGTTCTCGGATGGCGACCATCTTGACTTTACCGATACCTCCGCCTTTTACTATTTCGATTAGCTTAGCTACAGGTGGCATGTATCGATATTCTAGGCCAACTTGCACCAGTATATCTGTCCTTTTCTTTGCAGCATCCAGAACCTGATTGGAGATACAGCTTGAGGATCATTCGGACTCCGTAAAATTAGAGTAAAGTGCATTCCCACATTCTTGAAATGCAGCAACAGCCAGAAAGGGTAGGCATTTAAGTAAAAGATAAGAGAGTTGGAAAGACGACGACACTGACCTGTCTGCAATCTGCAACAGTGGTGCACAAAGGCTTTTCAACAAGAACATGATGTGGCTTCGGATAATTGAGAATGTCCATAAGAATCTGATAATGAGCCATATTTGGAGAAGACACGACAATGACGTTGCACATTTCACTCTTCAGCAACTCCATGTGTCCCGAGAAAACCTTAACCACATCAAAGTGTAAGTCTCAAATCCTAACTTTATCCGCGTCAATTTCCACGAGAATCGCACAGAAATTCCACAGACAGAAACACGCATGGCGTAATCAAAGTCAATATGTTTCGTGAATGTGGCGCACAGAAAACAAGATCAGAGATTAAATTCAATTTATAAGGAAGCTAAGGCATAGAATTCAAAAGAATACCTTGGGTTCCCAACCAAAAGAGCGAGCAAGTTCGATGGTGAGTTGCTGGGAGGGTGGGTAAGGATCGGCGATGCAGACAACGGAGACGCCTTGGTCACGGAGATGGTGAAGATTTATGAGATGTTCTCTCCCCATCATACCGACGCCTACGATTCCATACTTCACTAGTGCTGAGTCCGTAGCTTCCGCCATTACCAGAGCTTTGGAGTCTCGATTCGATGGCTACAGTTGGATAAAGGTAAGAACTAAGAACAGTAACCAAGCGTGGCTTAGTCGCGGACTTGAAACGTCGTCGTTTCGGCCCAACCATTAAATGAACTGTATTTGCACGAGGCCCAAACCATGGATATGTTTATCTTCAATTCTTCTTCTTTAGATAACCGGATACAGTTAAAAGTACGGACGCCCGTACCCGTAGTTCTGGTGGGTGCGGCGGTGAGTGAAAAGAAACGACGACGGCGATGATTCGAAGAGCGT